TATATATATATATGGTACGGATCTCCTGCGATAAATGAGGGACTACTGTATATGTAAACTGGCGACCCCAGTCATTTGAGGAATCTATACTTTCTAGTTTTTATATTGCCTAAAAGTGCAGTTTCCTCAAATGATTGGGGTGGCCAAAGATTTATCTATGTTAGCCAAGGCCACCTTTGGCCACCCCCTGGCTCCACCCATGTGCCTAGGGGTGCATAAAATTTCTCCCTTTTCCCACCAGTATCCGTCACTCTAACCACCTCAGACAAGAAAAAAAACGTGCTTCTGTTCTTCTGCACGGTGTAACTCCTATATCTTGCACAAAAAAACATGAAGGCCATTCCCTGTTCATTTCCAGTCCAAAAAAACCCACTCATCTCAAAAACTACAAACATTCACTTCTGAAATCCTTCAGCGACGGGGACATGGGCGTACCACTTGTTTATTTTATGTTTCTGTGCCTGCTGAGCTGAAATGCTCTTTTTTAAAGTGTTATTTTGAGAAAACTATAAATTTATACACATTACCTTTGGACTCTGGAAGCCAGTATATGTAAAAACCTGAGCCTAGCTGTAATATGTGATGCCTGTATCCAAGAATTTAACTGATGGTAACTTAGCCCAGTGATTATCTCGGGTGCAGTAATCCATGATAATGGTTTTGCACGTGTTTAAGGTAATTAAATTAAAGACCTGCTGCATTTTCCAGTGCAGAGGACAGGAACATGGACAAACCGGCACTAAATTAACCAAACGTTGCAGTAATGCTGCAGACTGAGCGTGAAATGTTAATGTTATGTGTGGCAGTGTGAACAGAAGGTTTCTTTAAGAAGGCCCAATTAATTTAACACTCTGCTGAAGTGATTAACTCGTATTTCACTGATGATCCCACGTCTGACTGCATCTTCACATGTGAAAACGTGTCAGTCACTGTACCCCGTTAATGAGACGTCATGCAGAGATGTGGAATCAGCTATCACTGATTACACCTCTGTTGGGGAGAACTACACCGTTTATAGAATTGTCTTTACATTTTATTTTATTGTTATGTATCTAAAAGAGACAGAACTGGCTCCAATTGATTTTTACTGCCCATCGCCACAAGGTGAAAGGTGAGCAGGCGATAACATTTCTACTTGTGTCTGTGTGTGTTCGTCTGTTAGCGAAATATCTCGTGAAGCCATACAAATTATTCATTTTTAGACCACACAATTCAAGATGGCTGCCACAGCTAATCAGCATTAGCCAACACAAAATGTCTGTAACTCAGTTAGTTTTACTAATAGTCATCTAAAGCTTGGTGTGGTAGTAACTGAAAGTATCCCCAACAAATCATTTAAGTGCTAACGGATTACACAAGATCTTTGTTTAAAATATTAACATTAAAAGTTTGAAGTCAACTCTGTCTGTTTGCAAAATATGTTGCAAACCACATGACAGATTTTTATGAAGCTTTCAGGAAATATTTATTGGATGCACATCTACAAGGGTTTAACTTTGGGAGTCAACCCAAATCAAGATGGCCACCACGGCCTACTGACATTTAAAAACACAAACATTTCTATGATTCAATGTAACACATATTATGCTAACATTTGTGATTTTAGCTGAAAGTCACACCTCAAGGCCTACTTATTGCACAAGAGCTTTGCTTAAATTTTCAGAATTGAATGTTGGAGTCAACCCTACTTGTCTGTTAGCAAAATATCAAAAACATCCATGATGGATTTTAACAAAACTTTCAACATCTACAGTTAATTAGGTTTTGGAGTGACTCCAAATCAAGATGACTGCCACACCAAAGTAATCTGATATGGGGCAGATGTGGCTGAGTGGTTAGAGCAGTCGTCCTCCAATGCAAGAATTGGGAGTTCAATTCCACCAGCAGTCACATGCCGAAGTGTCCCTGAGTAAGACAATGAACCCCTCATTGCCTCCAATGTGTGTCCCATGAGAATGTGATAAAGCACTGATTATTCTTTGTGTAGATCTAGTAGAGTGCTGCATGAATGGTTAAATGAGGGCACATATTGTAGTGTAAAGAGCTTTGAGTATCTTAATAAGATAGAAAAGTGCTGTATAAGTACAGACCATTTACCTTTTATGGTAGCACTTAAGAGTCATCACAACAAACTCTGGGCGTGACATCTCTTCATATGGCATCTATGTCGTTATTTTCGAGCTTTAACCAAAATGGCTACAACTTCGTCATTTCCAACCTTAAGCTGATCTTAGTGTAACACTTCATTTCTTCAAAGTCTACACCTTTAATTTAGTTGATTACATTTCTGCTCAGAGCAAAAAAAAATTATATAAAACTATCCAACACTATTTGAGAGTTAAGTTTTCGTTTCCTGTTTTAGCTTGATGAATGTCTTCAATTAATAACCTGTCTTGGCCACAGATTGTTCACTCAATAGTCAGTGAATAATTTAGACACTTTAAAAATGCTCAACCCTTTAATATGCACCACTTTGGATCATAAGTGTCCTTTCAGCAGATAACGGTTTGATACTTTTCCTCAGGTCTGAATACATAATGTCCTCCCACACCGCTGGAAGTGAGTCCTTTAGATTTACAGGCCGCCTAAACGCTGACACTTCATCACTCTCTGATGTGAAATATTTAAACCTCTGGTTTCCAGCTTCAGTCTCGGTTCTGGCCTCCAGTCGATGGAGGCTGTTCTGATGTTGAGCGTGCAGCTTCTCTTATTACGTCTGTGTTTTACGCTGCATGGACATGGAAGAACTAATCACTTCAAATAGCATAATGTGTTCTTCAGTGAGTGCTAAAAGGCTTTTTACAGAACTCGCCTATCCATTTGGATAGGGTTAGTCATCCATGCCATTCTTCCCCCCACATGACAGTCTTCACTTTTTCTTCTTCAGCTGCAGGAATGTCCCTCATAGTCCAGCTGTAGGCCTCACAGGCCCGTCTGCAGCGAGATGAGCTCAGAGGAGCGCAGCTCGGCCATGTCGCAGAAGATCTCCCTGTCTCGCAGCAACAGCAGCTCCTCATCGAAGCTCGAAAGCAGACAGGTAACACTCAAGCTTCACGGATTATTTCCCTTGGTGAGGAAGTAGCAAACTTTAGGTCTGGTCACTTTCCACATTTTCTTTCTGTAAATGCAGCCTGTAAATCGACAGGCTGCAGACTCATTAACTTTTCATTACCCATAAAGCTTTTCCTTTTGGAAATGAAAGTAATTAAAAATCACTCGCGCACCACCCACAGCACAAACTGAGCAATCATTCGCAAGAAAAGACAAAGAACTGACAAAGCATCTTCATCAGAAAACAACAACATGAAAACAACTGTACTTAAGTAAATTTTTCTTGTATCTATACTTTACTTAAGTAGAGTTTAAATGTGGGTACTTTCAACTTTTACTCCACTACATTTTACATTAAGTATCTGTACTTTCTACTTCACTGCATTTCTATAATATGTTGCGTTACAAGTTACATTCACGTTGCGTTTTTTGATTTGTTCGTTAGTTTGAAAGTAACCAAAGGCGAGAGGGGAGTTGGTCCATTGAATCACTGCAAAGTGGTAATGTTAGACCCACCTTCAAGAAGAGCTGGGCCAATGATGTATATTCTAGTATATACGTCGTTGAGCTGGGCGCATCCACAGCATCGCTGACACACCCAAAATGGATTCCACCGAGGAGAGTCAGCCAGAAGATACATACCGCTCATGGCCTTTTTAAAAGACTATTGAAAGACTATTGAAATACTGTTCAGTACATCAGGACAGATTCTCTCTCCCAAAAGAGCAAAACTGGACTCAAAAAACTTTGAAAACCAACTTCTTCTGAACTTGAACAAGAAATTCTTGCTGTAATATAAAATGTGTCAGTTCATGGGATGTTAGGAGACAAGAGATGTCTCCAAATGTCTCGACACTCGGGTCCAAGTTTTACAAATGGTGTCAGGAAGTTAAAATATTGTTCACTATTGAGCCATTACAAGGTTGACTAGACAGTATTTTAACTAGAGTTGATGACAAACTGGAGTTGAAATGATCAGAGCATGTTCCTTTGTCAGGTCTAATGCTCCTTTTTTCAGGCAGAAAACTTTTACTTAAATGTGGTTACTGCAGTTTAAAAATACACAATGGTTTGTTTTGTGCTAAATAAAAACTTTCAAAGGTAAAATCATTCGTCTTTCGTATTTTGCTTAATGGCATTTAACTCTGCATGTCATCCCTGAAATTCTGACACACAGAATCACGAGTCCAAGTGAGAACGGTGCCACGCAATAAAAACATGTATTATCTGCAGCATTGTTCATTAAAATGGTTCAACACTATTAATGTATTACAGAAAATACTGTATACATAAGGTAGGCAGACTTAATGATATTGTAGACCATTGCATTATGTAATACATTCAGCAAGTACTTTTACTTTTAATACTTTAAGTATTTTTAAAAGCAAGTACTTATTTACTTTTACTTAAGTAAAAACATCAATGTGGTACTTCTACTTTTACTAGAGTACATTTTTGTCAGTTTATTTGTACGTTTACTTAAGTACAGTGTTTGAGTACTTTCTCCACCACTGAATCTGAGTGTTTTTAAAACTTAAGCACATAAGGTTGCAGCCGACAGGCATTCATTCAAGAACAAAAAACAAACAAAACAAAAACAGAAAATTTAAGGTGAAGGATTTTACGACAATAAACCCACTTAAACTTGAACTTGATTTTAAAAACAGTTCTTCTCATCCTGAACATTTCGTTGCATTGTTGACCTTGTGTTAACATATGACAAATAAACAATAAATATACCAAAAGCTGGGAGATTCTATATAACAGGGCAATTCAACTAAACTACTCAGGGGGCCACAGTTACTGAGAGCCAGCAGCTCAGGGGCCGGACATCCAGCAATTAAAGTCATTATGTAAATAAAACAAGTATTACAAAGATCTGTTACCTTTTAAATTTGTTTATTTTGTTGCATTGAATCATAAACATGATTAAATCATGAACTTCAAGCCCTAACAAGGACCCATCCAGAGTATCGGGAATGCAGTGTTATGTGTTTCACTGAGACATGGCTGCAGGATCATATCCTCGACTCCAGCATTTCCTTGCCAGGCTTTCTGACCATTCGAGCAGATAGAGATTTAAAGAGGAGTGGCAATAGGAAAGGAAGTGAGTTGGCAGTGCTTGTGAACAACAGATGGTGTAATCCTGGACATGTTACTGTGAAGTGTTGTCTCTGCAGTCCAGATGTTGAACTGTTAGCCCTAAGTTGTCGTCCATATTATTTGCCAAGAGAGTTCACCAGTGTTATTTTGACAACTGTTTACATTCAACCCAATGCTTTTGCAGAGACTGCGTGTGATGTCATCAGCTCCGAGGTTGCTAAGCTACAGACACAACACCCTAGTGCGTTTGTTGCAATATCTGGGAATTTTAATCATGCCTCTCTCGCTGCTACACTTCCGACATTCCAACAGTTTTGTCAGCTGCTCTACCAGAGAAAACATAACGCTGGACTTGTTTTATGCAAATGTCAAGGATTCATACATCGCTAAAGCAAGACCCCCTCTTGGCAAATCAGATCACAATCTTGTGTTTCTCTGCTCAAAATATAAACCCCTTGTTCAGAGACAACCTGTAATAAAGAGAACAGTGAGAAAATGGTCAATGGAAGCTGAAGAAGCCCTGCGGGGTTGTTTTGAGGCAACAGACTGGGATGCATTGTGTCAGCCACATAGAAAGGACATCAATGCCATGACTGAGTGTGTGACTGACTATATAAACTTCTGTGTAAACAGCACCATCCCCACCAGAACAGTGAGATGCTTCCCCAAGGACAAACCCTGGATTACCACTGACCTGAAGGAACTGCTAAACCAGAAAAAAGAGCCTTCAGGGAGGGAGACAGGGAATTATTGAAGAGCACACAGAAGCAACTAAAAGTAAAGATAAGAAACAGCAAGGAGGTGTACAAGAAGAAGCTGGAGAGCAAGCTCCAACAGAACAATATCAGAGAGGTGTGGTCAGGGATGAAAAAGATCACAGGCTTCCAGCAGAAGGAGGATCAAAAGGATGGAAGCCTGGACAGAGCCAATGAACTGAACACGTTCTTCAATAGGTTCAGTTCAGGAACAAGCTCAGCATCCTCCTCTCTTGCTCACAGCCAAACATACATACCACCCTCTATTGACCCAAGGCTGTCCTGTCACACCTCAAATATTGTATCTACCACCTCAGTCATGGACCCTTCTTCTACATATTGATCTTCAACCAAATCAGAAGATGCTGATACCTCCTTTGCCTCCCCCCCCCCCTCTGCATCTCCAGAAGTCAGGTGAGGAAGCAGCTGGAGAGACTGAACCGTAATAAGGCTGCAGGTCCAGATGGTGTCAGTCCCAGGGTCCTGAAGGTCTGTGCAGAGCAGCTCTGTGGGGTTCTGCAGTACCTCTTCAACCTTAGCCTGACCCAGGAGAAGGTTCCAGTGTTGTGGAAAACATCATGTCTTGTTCCAGTGCCAAAGAAAACTCACCCATCAGTCCTCAATGACTATAGACCTGTTGCCCTGACATCCCACATCATGAAGGTCCTAGAGAGACTTCTGCTGAACCACCTGACTAGACAAACAAGCACATATCAGGACCCACTGCAGTTTGCTTATCAGCGTGGACTTGGAGTTGAAGATGCCATCATACACCTGCTTCAGCAAACTCACTGTCATCTAGAAAAGACAGACAGCACTGTGAGAGTCATGTTCTTTGCATTTGCATTTAACACAATCCAGCCTGATTTGCTTTGTCAGAAACTTCAGAAGACTCAGGTGGAGGCCTCAACAATCGCCTGGATCAAAGTCTACCTGACGAACAGACCACAGTTTGTGAGACTGAAGGTTTGTGTGTGTAACCAGGTGGTCAGTAGTTCAGGAGCACCACAGGGGACTGTACTCTCACCATTCCTTTTCACTCTGTACACCTCAGATTTCCAGTACAAAACAGACTCCTGTCATCTGCAGAAATATTCAGATGACTCTGCAGTGGTCGGGTGTATCAGAGATGGACAAGAAGCTGAGTACATGGAACTGGTGGACCACTTTGAGGCATGGTGTGGAAACAATCATCTCATCTTGAATGTGAACAAAACAAAGGAGATGACTGTAGATTTCAGGAGAATCAGGAACAGGTCCAACCCTATTTCCATCATGGGAGAAGAAGTGGAGGTGGTGGAGAAGTATAAATACCTTGGAGTTCACCTGGACAACAGACTGGACTGGAAATGCAACAGTGAAGCCATCTACAAGAAGGGACAGAGCAGACTGTACTTCTTGAGGAAGCTGAAGTCCTTCAACGTTTGCAGCAAGATGCTGCATATCTTCTATAAGTCTGTTGTAGAGAGCGCTATCTCTTCTGCCATCATCTGCTGGGGGAGCAGCACCAGAGCAAGTGACTTAAAAAAGATCAACAAACTGGCTGGCTCAGTTCTGGGGACTCCTCTAGAACCTTTGGAGATGATTGTTCAAAGAAGGATTCTTCATAAAATTAAGAACATTATAGACAACCCTCAGCATCCTCTTCATCAGACTGTCATACAACAACAGAGTGTCTTCAATCAGAGGCTTCTTCAGATCAGTTGTAAGACAGACCGCTACAAGAGATCCTTCCTGCCCACAGCCATCAGCATCTAGAACAACTCAGTAATGAAACCAGGATGATGAGTTACTACAACATATAATTTCCCTCTAGGATTAATAAAGTATTTTTGAATTGAATTGAATTGAAATGAAATAAGGGCACCAGCAACCCCCGTGACCCAAAATGGAATAAGCGGGTAAAGATAATGGATGGATGGATGGATGGATGAAATGAAATAAACAGAACCCAGAACCAAATCCAGAACTCAACCCTACATTTTTTTTTTTTTTATGAGCTCATTGATAGACTGGACTGAAGTCACACGCGGGATGGAAGTGGTGCTTCATAAGCAATGCCGTACTGATTGAAAGCAGGTTTGGAGGATAGACAGACAGATGTGACAAAACCCGATGGTCCAGGAAC